CCTTCTCCTCATGTATTTGCATCTATCAATTTCACTGCAGCTGCAGAGAGCGCTATATTGAGCGTGCAATTAGGCAGGTTGATTATCGTAATTCCGAATATCATCCTGCTTGTTGGTTGAGCAAGTGAGAGATGAAATCTATTTGTCACTCTGTTTTAACACACCTTGTAGACACAGTGAATACAAAATTCATTCAACCAGTTCTCGTGCACTGAACATTACTCTCAAGTGTCCAGCAATTCTCAGTCTATATCAAAATGATGTTTAATAATCCCATCATCGTATATATCCTCGTCATGTTAGCACACACAGCTCATTTGAGCTCTTCGGATACACAGAAACTCTTTTGACAATCTTAATGAATGCGTAACCATTCCGAAATAAGCAAGTGTCGTTTTGATCAACAAATCACTGAACTGATCAGTTTCCACCTTTTCACAATTTATTCTACTCAACTGATAAAATGCATCGCTTAACGTCGGCAAATTTCTAAACAGTGACTCATCGGCTAAACTATGGAAGTGGATTTTATATATATCACAGTGAATATCGCTTAATAGTAGTATGCATTGTGTGATAAATTCGTCTGACTCAAATGAACACTCGTAATCCTCGATAATCGAATGTACACCACATTTCCATCTGCATAGCATCACTTGAGTAGAAAGTGTAATCCGAATGAGAGGCTGTTTATTATATGCCTAACTGACTATCGCTTGATTAATTCCCCTATTGAACATCATCGTCATCGTCATCACAAGACGGGTGGGTGTGTCATATCATTCCTCAAAACAACATAATCCACTAATTCACCACTAACTGTATTCCAGTCTACAGCACATTTGAAACTGTAGGGAGTCTTTTGGTTCATTTGAGTTGAAACGAGTTATATATTACAGCTAACATATTCACTAGACGAAATTCACCCCGTAGCTAAGTTGGCTCCTGGTTATCCCAGACAGCATGTTGTCTGGTGCAATCATACGTCAACAGATACTCTTCTCATGTGAGCCACTCCAACTGTGTGCACAAATCTACACAAAGCTCTGCCCTCTTAGCATAGTAGGCTACATAAAAGGAGAACAGAGGAGAGGATAAAACTTCTATTTTCTAAAGATAACCCAAGAAGCCTGTGTCTGAAGGAAACAAGAGCTTACTGCAGTGCTGTTACTAGACATCATATCAATACAGGTGATGAGGTGGACATCGTGGAATTATTCAGAATCAATAACAGACAGAACAGCTCACTTCCGTTCAAGTTTACCTACCGAGGCAATCGTTATCGAACGCCTGAAACACGATTCATGTGTGTGCAGGAAGAATCAGTTATCATCAGGGTTTTCTCGCTCTGCCATGCTTGGAAACTGGATATCTTCACTGTCTCCCACTCTCCATCTTTCACTTGATTATGTCATCTACAGCTTTAACGGCTCCTCCATTTTATATCCTGTAACATTGATTGTCTCTTGTTTCCGTGGTATCAGTTTGTAGTGACCCGTTTTATTACTCATCATTGCAGTATACTTTCATTGTGTAATTGTACTTTGATTTGTTATTACTCTTAATCTTGCATGTTAACAATTGATACCTTTTGTACTCGCTCGATTTTTGAATTGTTGATTGCTGCAATAATACACTGTCGTATTCCTTCGCAAGTGCCTTTTGAATTACGTTGTGGATGTCGAGTAATCACAACGTTAAGACACAAATATAAACGCGAAGAAGTACTAAGATATACGTGTATTCTAGTTCAGTCAAAATATAGCAGCAACAAGTTGAACTCATGACATATTTACTCATCCATCATCTTATTCGCATCATGCCTTTCTTTATTACATAACTCTTTTGGTATTATTTTAATCCAGCATTTATTCTTGTTTAAAGTTGAACTCTCAGGGGAAAATACTATACAATAATTAGTTCTGAGCACTGTTCATTGAGTTTGAAGTGCCCTGTTAACTGTTGTCATGTATATCACATATAGGCATAGATGATTACACTGTACACCGTGCAAATAGAGACTGCAAGCGTGGTGGAGGATGTCTCATATATATACATAACTCATTCGTAGCCAGTAAAGTGGAAGATGAAATATTGAACCAGGTACCTGATTCACTCTGGGTCGTCTTACAAGGAGATAAGTACAAGCTTCTCATAGGCTGTGTTTATCGAGCACCAATCTCAACCAAAGAAACTGATGCGTTATTAGCTAAATCATTCGCACACGCCTCATCGTTTAGTACTAATTACAAAATAATTGCAGGGGACTTCAATCTTCCAGAAGTCAATTGGTTGAGTAGTTCCGGCCCCCGACGCTTCGACGAATTACTTGCCACTATCGATTGTTATGGATGGCAGCAATACGTCCAGACACCCACTCGTGGTGACAACATGTTGGACCTTGTGTTTTGTCATGACACAATCCCAGTCTCCACCTATGTTAGTAACAGATTTTCCAGTAGTGACCATAGAATGGTACTCTGCTCTCTGCCTTTCTCACCACTAAACACAGGAAACAAACAGGATTCAGGGAGCTTGATTTGTCGTAGTTACAATCATACAGACTGGGGATTAGTCCAAGAACTCATTCGACTCTGTCACTGGGATGAATATTTTACCACTGACTCCCTGGAGGCCGTAGTGTCCCTATTTTACAGGAATGTTATCCTTTGTCTAGATACTGTTGCTCCTAAGAAGGTAGTGAAATTAAGTAGACACCAAGCTGAATACATTCCGAGGGCATACCGCAATAAGTTGAGGAAGTTGAAGAAACAGTACTATTCCACTAGGGATATATCACTACTGCACTCAATCCACGAGTCTCTTGAATCTATCAAGCGCCAACGCTCTCAAAAGGACCTCGACGAAGAATTAAGGGCACTTGAAAGCACCTCCAAAGTTTATAACTTAACAAAACTTCTTAAAAAACGAATACAGTCGGCTAGGGACATCCCCTATTTATTTCATGACAAAGTTATCTACAATGTGCCTGCCACCATCTGTGAAATATTCAGTGAATGGTCTGCAAACTTCAGTTTAGAAATGCGCATTCCTGGTGACACCGGCCCCCTTACTAGCTCTTTCCTCGGAAGCATAGTGTTCACCAACCAATTAATAGAACAAGCAGTTAAAAGCCTGAAACCTTCCACTAGCACGGGACCAGATGGCCTTGCTTCTATAATTTTCAAAAACAGTGGGTGTGATATACCCCTACTACTTCTTAAATTCTTCTCAATATCTATGGACACTGGCACTTACCCTATTGAGTGGAAAACTAGCTTCATCATTCCACACTATAACTCCGGTGATAAGGCAAACGTCCGCAATTACAGACCCATAAATATAACCCCAGTTGTCTCTCGAATCATGGAGAAAGTTGTCAGACTATCTACTTAAGGAAGATCTTGTTACAAGGTCTCAACACGGATTTCTCAAAAATAGGTCTTGCGTTACTTGCCACTTCGACTTTTTCAACTGCATCACTAGTAGTCACGAAGCACGTAAGCTAGTTGTTGTTCTCTACTTCGACATTTCTAGGGCATTTGACATGGTATCTCACAGTATTCTCTTTGAGAAGCTGTATTCATGTGGGATTCGCAATCCATTACTGAGCTGGTTAAAATCGTTTCTAAGCAATAGGGTACAAATAACCAAGGTTGGATCTGTATTGTCTCATCCTAGGCAGATCACAAGTGGGGTTGTGCAAGGTAGTGTCCTAGGTCCACTTTTATTTACAGTATACATTAACAGCATTTGCAACTGCTTCACCTCAGGTAAATCATTCCTATATGCTGACGACCTCAAAGTCGTTTACTCCTGCTACCCTCATGAACTAAGCGATATGGCAAATAAAATACATCTTGAACTAAGTAGTCTCGCAACATGGTGTACTGAATCCTGTCTAAAGTTCAACATTGATAAATGCGGCTGGACTTGTATTGGAAACAGTAACCTTGACCTGAATCTTGAAATAAATGGGCGTAAACTAGCCAAGCTCAACTCAGTCGTAGATCTCGGTATCAGATACTCTAGTAACTTAACGTTCTCTGAACAAACTGATTATGCCAGACGTAAAACACGAAGGCTCCTAGGATGCATAACTCGCAATTTCTTTTGTTGTGAAACTAGGGTTTTATTATATAAAGTATGTGTCCGACCTATTTTAGAATACTGCCCGTTTATTCTTAGCGGACTCAGACAAAATGACAAGCTTAAGTTAGAAGGAGTGCAACGGCAATTCACCTTAAGAATTCTTGGCTTAGAAAGTGGTCTCCAATACTACGAACGTTGCGACAGACTAAGTTTAGAACCACTCTGGAAAAGACGTCTTAAGCTAAACCTGATTTTTTACTACAAGCTAACTAATCTGCTCGTGCACTCCTCCGAGCCAATAATTAAACCTACCGCTGTCATCAGTTACAATCTTAGAAATCATCACAACCTAGTTGCTATAGAGCATTGTCAGACTTACATGCGGTATAATTTCTTCTTAAATAAGTTTTCAGTCATTTGGAATAGACTACCAGCTGATGTGCGCGATGCAAACACACTCGCAGTGTTCATCTCCTCAGTCACCAGACTGCTCAAAGATGACAGTGCACTTCTGCGTCTGAATCCTACACCCTCTTTTTCGCCCAACATAGATATTTTAAGTTCATTAAACGTGTAGTTACAACAAACTACAATTATAAGTTTTTATATTATTGGAAGTACATGATAGACATTTTTACACAGGACAATAATATTAGTTCATACAATATAAAAGTTAGCATCACGGGAATAGCTAGTTAATGCACCAAAATAACTATAATTACTAAACAGAATATAAATGTATATATACATATTAATCACTCCCTAAGTACTCCACTCGCTTTCTTTTGCGTTGTTGTTGTTGTTTGTCTTCTTTTGTCTCTCACCACTTCAGCTTCCATTTGACTTTTTGGATGAGAATGAAGAATGTAGATATTTGCCCATTTACAATGACAAATGATCTGCAAACATTATTGGTCCCGTATCTTACAATTCCCTCGTGAATTGCGCATTGCCTTCACCAACGACGCAACCTGGATTACAGTTGTGAAATATACCTTTATACCAATAAAAAAGTATTGATTTATAATACTTCACGATTGTAACTTACAACATAACTGATTGTACCTGCAAAAATAGCCTGCATTTCTTGAAAACACCCGTTTATAAGAAAATACAGACTGTCATTATTATTAGCCTACCTTGAGTACTATTCACTTGTGATGTTACGGAGAAAATGCTGACAAAAGTATACAAGTGTATTACTTATTTTAAATTATTATCAAATATGGATATAAATCAAGAATAAGACTCGATGCCGTACACACCAAAGTTATATGGAGGAATTACTTCAAGCTTTATTTTTTTCCCAAGTATTTGTAATCCATCCAAAACATACTTGGTTTTTTTTGTTAATGCGAAGACAATATTTCTACATTTCTTGATGTGCTCCATTGAATGACTAGTTATCATATTGTCCCCATAGACAAAATGACTGCAACCTTATAATTTTACCATGAACCAAATTTATGTAATTTAAATAATACTTATCCATGCATGTACAATTGGTGTGTCCTACACAGGTAGGAAAAATGTATTTTATTAAATTACTATTATTAAATATGCTTACTAATCGTATATGTAAATTATCATATTGATGATGCCTGTAAACTGGCGTCCCTCATGTAAAAAATGAGAATATACTATTATTATTATTATTATATACCGTAGAATCCACCGCACCACTCCTCTCAAACCACACAGAATTATCCTCTCAGAGAGAGACACCAACCGCAAGGCTACTAAATTGTAATCAAATAGCCAATAAAACTATACCGCCTATCACCGTAGATATAGACATGTCACCAAATAATCCCGGAAAAAAAGTCAAAATCCCCCGAAAGTCGGCCCCGTCCTCTCCTGTCCATAAGTCCATTGGTAAAAAAGGAGAATATGACCCCAAATCACGCCAACAACAAAAATGGCAGTATAAATAAGCCCACATCTCCCACGGTCAATAGTATTGGCACCCAAAACGTGCGAAATAGCACCATGGCCCACACTGATAACCAACGCCACAACAATGCCTCCCTCAATAGTACAAGTGGCAATAGTCAGAACTCGATCACCAACAACTCAGGGTATCCACAGTATGGCACACAAATAAATTTTGATCGGATATATGGTACAAGTCTGCTGGGAACTAACCCACAAAGCAGTACACACGAAACTCATACAAGGAAACAAATAGTACCTAACAATAGGTCGAATAATAAACCATGGTCTCCACAAGGTCCTAATCATTTTTTATCCCCTGCGTCCCTGTCAGCGTTGAAAAAACAGCTGGTAGGGATGTCAACACTCCTAAACCGTTAATGCTGGCTCCCCCTTTGCATGAATATAGAAACAGTCTAGTTCACCCGCATCCATTAAGCACACTTGATACATGCACAAGTTTAGGTCAAATAAAGATCCCTAACCACGTTTCTGGCTTAACTAGAAATAAAAATGCCTTAGCCTATAGCAAATCCAGTACTCCAACGCTCAATTCTTCACTGAAAACAGCACACACCAACCCGATAGACATAGATGAGCGTGATGTCGAAACTCCTCTTAACATAGGGTCGTCATGCCAAACAGTACTACTGGGTGCTGAACCATACTCGGGGCTGATTAACGAACTTAAATACTTCAAATCTCATCTTTACTTGATCCTCATAAATGCTAGATCTGTTCTAAATAAACTGCCAATGCTCAGAGCACTCACAGTTATATACAAACCCCCTATAATTGTCATCACTGAATCCTGGTGTAATTCTAACATACTGGATGAGGAGATAAGCTTAGATAACTATACACACTTTCAGTGTGACAGGGAAGGTGGTAAGGGAGGGGGTTGTCTCATGTACTTTCTGAATGCACTTACTGTATCACGGCTAGAAAGTAGTACACTTAACATGCCTGAGACTTTATGGGTTAACTTACACTTAAATAACGCAATGGTATTAATTGGATGAACCTACAGAGCACCTGGCACCTTTAGTAATTACGAGACCCAACTTATTAATACTCTAGAACAATTATCCACCCTACACTACGATCATAAGATCCTATGTGGAGACTTTAACTTACCAGAAATCAACTGGGAAATACCCACAGGTCCAACTAAACTTGATAAGTTCTTAGGCACACTGGATATACTTGGCTGGAAACAAACTGGCACAACCCCAACAAGAGGTAATAACGTACTAGACTTAATCTTCTGCCACAATATAAGTCCCCTTTCTACCCTAATAGGTTCTGAGTTTCCAGGGTGTGACCACAAAACAGTGCTGTGTGCACTGCCACTTCCGTCAGGTATCAATGCAACCCATACCCATACTTCACAACAAATAACTTACAGGAACTACAGTAAGGCAGACTGGACTCTAGTGAAATCAATGTTAAGATCCTCAGAATGGAGAGAGTACTTCACTACTGATGACCTCTCGAGAGCTCTGAGCATCTTCTACCATAACTCCAACATATGCTTAGATGCTGTCATTCCACTCCAAACACTTGAGCTTTCCCCACATAGGAAGTCATTCATAAAACCAAAGGATCGGGTGACTCTAAACTTTAGGAACCCAAAACAACCTTGAGAACGGATGACCTTGATGAATGACCTTACACAGGCAATCGTCTGACTCGCAATGGATGCTGTACATCGTTTGCGATGCAAATTCGGGTGACTCTAAACTTTAGGAACCCAAACGAACGAACGGACAAATGACCTTGACAAGGACAATATTAACCAATCAGAAGGCTTAAAATGAACGGCGCATAATTTTAATAAATCGTTTATATACAAGTAAATCAATGTTAAAAAATAGTTACAAAGGATAGCGTTCTCGTATATGTTGCAAAAAAAGTCCCAATTAGACACATGAGTCTTTAAAGTCATGTTAAACCAAGTCCTATACATGAACTCGTCGAGATAACTGTAAATCATTGGATTTCTTGATCCGTTCACCGATCTTACCCTTTTTTTGAGATGACCCCAGAAACTTTCAATGGAATTAGTATGAGTTCCATTGAAAGGATTTATAAATCCGGTTGTATGGTTGACAACCTCATGAATATAGCCGAGATTTGATAATTGGCTGTAACTACTCCACTCATCCGTATGTATTGTTGTTCCCGGTAGCACTAAACGTTGGATAATGGGCTTGGATAATGGATTTTCTGCATCTGCACTCCCTGCAACGTAAACATAACCGTCGATGCATTTCGTGTATCTTTGTATATGCATGACACCTCCGCACTGGCAACTTTTTCGATCTCGCTATCAGCCCGTTCTCTAAACAGTAATCCAAAACAAACTCTGGAGCGAATTTGCATCGCAAACGATGTACAGCATCCATTGCGAGTCAGACGATTGCCTGTGTAAGGTCATTCATCAAGGTCATCCGTTCTCAAGGTTGTTTTGGGTTCCTAAAGTTTAGAGTCACCACGTAAATCTTAAAGAAGCGAATGAATCGCAAAAATCACAGCATTTCCCTCCTCATAGACAAAGGTAGGCTATGTACTAATTCCGCAGACATGTGTGAATTATTTAACTCAACTTTTGCAGGTAACTACCTTAAGCCCACAGTCCAGTTACTCAATATACACCCTGCTACTAATGTGGCACAAACTCCATCTCCACACACACCAAACTTAATTAGTACTGTTGAATTACACTATACTAACATTAAACAAACTATAAGAACCCTAAAATGCTCGAAAGGTTTCGGTACTGACGGCATATCATCCTATTTTTATAAATATGGTGGCCCTGACATTCCCCTACTACTACTTAAAACATTCACAATGTCCTTAGAAACCCAAACTTACCCTGCTGTGTGGAAAACAACGTTTATTATGCCTAAACACAAATCTGGCTCGAAAACAGACGTCAGTAACTACAGGCCAATTAATATCACACCTATAGCTTCTAGAATTATGGAGAGACTAGTTAAAGACAACCTAATGAAGCATATGCTTAGCTGCAACATTATAAGTCCGAACCAACATGGATTCCTAAAATCCAGATCTTGTTTAACATGCCACTTAGACTTCTTTAACTTTGTGACCAGCAGTCATGACAGACGACAACTAGTACTTGTCATCTACTTTGACGTCTCAAAGGCATTTGACCGTGTCGACCATTTACTACTAATGCATAAGCTGAAATCCTTAGGAATACGTGACCCACTATTAGGATGGCTTAAATCATTCCTTAACAATAGGTCCCAAATAGTTAAACTCGGATCTATAACTTCGAAACCTAGCCCAGTCACCTCTGGTGTAGTACGAGGTAGTGTCATTGGACTCCTTCTATTTACCCTATATATTAACGACATATGCGCTTGCTTTTCTCATGGGAAACCATTCATCTTTGCAGATGACCTCAAAGTAGCTTATACATTCCAATCTGATGACCTAGGATACTTCCAGAATGTTGTACAATAAGAACTAGATAAAGTGACTGCTTGGTCGTCTTTATGGAACCTCCAATTTAACCTTAAAAAATGTGGCTGGATCTGCTTCGGTGCACCCTCAGTCGACATGAAGTTAACGCTTCATTCGGCTAACCTAACCAAACTCCAAAGTGTCGTTGACATAGGTCTGAGGTACTCGAGTAACCTAACATTCTCTGAGCAAGTGGCATCACAGACTCAAAAGTCGAGGATGCTCTTAGGATGCATACTCAGGAACTTTCACGACAATGAAGCCAAGCTAATTCCTTAAAAAACCTGTATGAGGTCACTACTAGAATACTGTCCATTTATTATTAGCAGCACTCACACACATGAAAAGCTAAGAATTGAAAGTATCCAACGATATTTTACCTCAAAACTACTTGGCTACGAATGTAAGAAAGACTACATCTCACGGTGCATGATTCTACAACTTGACCCACTCTGGACAAGACGACTAATTATAAACCTAGTATTCTTCTATAAGGTCCTACACAAAATATCATTCTCAGACATCAAGGACATACAATAAAAGCCTTTAAGTCAACACTCCGCGAAAACTTCTTCACAGTCATGTATTCTAAAATATGGAACAATCTGCCCCTAGATGTCAGGAACTGCAATACAGTCTCAAGCTTCAAACGCTCTCTGTACACACTATTTCACTCTACCGACTATATAAATAAACTGTTTATTCCTAGAACGAATCAACTATTAGTCTACTACAGTACCTAAACGC